CTCCTTCAAAAGAGGAGGCAATTCGGTTGTATTTTATTTTATATTTGTTACTTCATAATTCCGTCATTTATAAACTTTCTTTCTTTTTTTATTTGAAATTATTTACTTTTAAATTGGTTTTATAGACATTTTATCAAAATCAGTTCAGCAATTTAGTTTTTAAATAACTTATAAGATAGTTTTTAAATAAATAAAAATAACTGATTCAAAGTCGGTTTCTTTATTAAAAACAATCTCATGTTATTACTTTTTATCTACTGCTGCAACTATATATCTACATAATATAAGGTTCTAAAAAAGAAAATTTATTTTAAAGTGTTTTCAAATGCCTAGAGTATCATTATAGCTCTTCTTTATACAATCAAAAATATTAGGTAGCCTATATCTATACCTAGGTAGGTATGTTTTTATTAATTACTAAGATATGAGGCTCTGACGACTTATAATTTATTGTTTGTTTTCAGCAAATAATACAGTTAGTCATATTAACCATTGACGCAAACAGAGTAATTTACAAGTGTAACTTGTGTATCTAAGGCGTCGGCGTCGGTCTGTAGCATCACAGTTCACAAATGGATGGACAGATTTTGATTAAGTTTTTTTTTTTATATTTGAAAGGTGACTTGATTGATAGTGTTCTTAACTATTCAAGAAAATTTTGTTCAGTTGTTTGAATATCATCGACTCTTTTTCTGTTTGGTAAACGAATCTGAACGCTATCGTGCTGTATAAAAAATTCACATCCTAGTGCATATTGTTAGAATATATTATAGTATTCTTGACTTGACTTCAAGCTGCTGCATCAACTGAAATCAGCGGGATACACAGATCCTTGCCAACATATATCAGTAATAACGTGTTTAAGGTCATTGCAATAGTTGCAATTAATAAATTATAGATTGACAGTGATCAATGTCCGACGATGGAGCAGGAAAGAAAATATGGATAAATAGGTAAAAAGTCCATGTTACTTTCATTATTTCAATCGATATCTATAAAATTTTATTAATATTATATTATAAATGTGAAATTTCTAAAGATGTTTGGACGTTTGTATGTATGTTGCTCAATCACATTTAAACGGTTATTTTGGATTTCAGTAAAATTTGGTATAAGACTATGCTATCAGTTAGATATATACAAGTCTATTAGGAAGTTATTAAATTACCTAAATTTTAATTTCTCCTATCAATCGTATTGTTCGTTATCCATTCATATAATAATAAAACAACTTTGCTTTATAGAAACGAGTTTTTGGTGACGTAGTGGCGGTGTTAACACGTTTTCGTCTTCTAATACCTTTACTGAATCAAAATTGCTGTGATTCAAAGCAGCAGTGCATTTTTCGCCAATACATCAAACCGGTTACCGAAAGTTGCGCGGGCGCATAACGGCTTCGCGTTCGAGAGGCGCGGGATCGGCCCGTGGGAAGAGCCAGTTCCGGCTGTTCTACTTGTGCCACGCCTTTCACCGAGCAAGGTCGTCGCGCGGCCGCGCCACTTTCTTTTATATAACTGCCATGCGCGTGCGCCGAGTGGAATGCGACACCCGAATTTATAGTGATGACGTCACGAGGTGATTCACCGTACCATCGGGCGACTCCTACTCCTAGATTATCATACATATGAGCCTCCAACTCTATAAAATATGCCTCCAACTGAGCGAGCTGTATACCACGTAGTTGACGTGCATTGTAACCAAAGTGGTTTCTGACAAATGTTTTTTAACACAAGAGAATATAGTACATACTCGTATCTAAAAAACAGCAGGTATATCCATACAAGCTTACCATAACCATAACTGTATGATCCTATCGTTGGATATTAGTCTTTTTCCATAATAAAAGGATATTATTAGTTTACGGGCCACCCCTTTTATTCCTATGGGTATCGTAAGAGGCGCCTAAGGGAGGGCAAGGGATGGGCAGCAGCGTCCCTCTTATAACATCTCTAAAAGCCTAACTGCGGTTGCCAACTCACCTGCCAAGCGCGGCAACTACTGGCAAAACTCCCCTTATGGGGAAAGCTTATGTCCGGCAGCGGACAGTTAACGGCTGAGATAATATAATAATTAGTCTACTAATTATTTATAAATTTTTCCTCTAAATGTTGATTTGCCTATTTTGAGTGATGAAACCGAAATCGAAATTGGATTGGATGAATGGTCTTAGAAAGCGGCAGGTAGGTACCTACATCCGGCATCCGGCGGTGCCAGTGACCGGAACTGACGGGTTTATGCCGCGGTATGCGAAGTTACATCATCGAGTATTACCGCATACCGTCCGAATTGTCGTCATTCACTTTTCACGTTAACTGTAGAAAACGCGAGTTAATTATCGAATACAGATATTCTATAAGCGATATTCTAGCTTATAGATCATCATCATCTTCCTACCCTTATCCCAATTATTGTATGGGGTCGGCGTAATGTTTTTATCCATATTACAAAAAGATTTGACTTTTACGATCGGTCGCCTGCCTGACGTCAACCCTCTTTGGAAAAATATTCTAGCTTATAGAATACCTGTTATATTAAATATTATGAATACACATAATGTATATTTTTTATGTAAGTATTTTTAAATGGATGATTACAGAATGGTAAGCCCGCCTGTTACCGGTATATGCGAGATACCATTGAGGGATAAATAGGGATGATGTATAAAGTTTTATAGCGCTTGTTCTGTGAATAGTGCTATTGTTCCCCGGAAATGACCATGTTGATTTCAGGGGGAATCACGTGGAGGTTAACCTGAAAGAATATAGGTACTGCTAGTAATGGGTTCACTAAGTATATATATACATAGATATATTTAAAAATTAATATAGATTCATGTATATATCAAAAGAGCTGCCACTTATAGTGACGAATCCTTACTATCTAGTATTATAAATGTTAAAGTCGGTTTGTTTGTTATTTCTTGGAGCTACAACTGCTCAAGCAATTTGATATAGGTGCACGTTTTATTTGGTGTAAAGAAAAACATGTTACTTTTTATACTAAGCGCACTGAGCATACAACATAATAGCAGTCACGCGGACAAAGTCGCGGATAAAGGCTATTCAGCTTTATTCTCGGATATCAATTAAAGTGTAGGTACATATAAGAATCATAACGAATTATTCTGGTCTATTTACCACTTTTTTTTTTACTAATAAATGAAATCGAAACCACTACATCTTTTATTTTCATCTCTCAACTCAGTTATATGAGTTGCGCGCTCCAAGTGAAATTATTATTTTTTATTTTATACCCGTAAAGTCACTTTCTTTCTTTATACGTTATCTCATGTCACTTAAATTTTAAATTAGAACTTCAAAACTTCATTCGCGTTTTTCTCAAAATGTATATTTTTTATTTACACAAGATATGTATGACACGGTAGACCAGTGAAAAAGAATATTTTGATCAGGGAAATAAGGATTGAAAAATTCAAAAAAAAATTATAAAACAGTGTAAAGAAGGTTTTAGTTTAATAATAATAATTTATTTGCCAAAAACATAGTTACATAATGTTACAACTAAGTGTTAAAATTTTTTATAAATAAGGGTTTAGTTTCAAAACTTTATATCGCATTTGAATTATCAATTCACGATTTTTTTTATAATCTTAATTATAATATATTTTACATTATAGATAGGCTCGTTTAACGTATCGCTAATGGTTTTGATTTCACATTGTATACATACATTCTGACAACTAAGATACATACTATGACGATTCTTTTAATAGGTGAACATGAAATAGTAGTCCCACCCCGCCTACGCTAACGGTATACGTCAGCGAAATCAGTATGGGTTGACAGACGATAATGAAAAGGCAGGTTTTTTTAATAAATGATAATGGAATGATTACCCCACCTGCGCCAACGATATATGCTGGCGTGGCCCAGTAAGGGATGATAGGTGTAAACTGTGAATGAAAAGGCAGATCAGCTAACCCATCGTGAATAATATACTTGGAATTCAGCACGATGGTTTTCAGGGGGGACCACATGGAGGTTGACCTGGCAGGGTATATTACTAGCAACGAGACTGATGTGAATGCGGTCTGCATTACAAACAATCCCCCCCCCCCCCACCTACGCGCGCCACCAGTCTTTTTTTAATAGGCCATTAAAAAAAATAGGGCATATTGCCAGCAATGAGGCTGTCAAACTCCATTGCTAACAATCCCTTTCGCCCCGCACGCCACCAGTCATGAGCTTATATTCTAGTAAGAGTGACTAGCTATAAGTTATGTTAAGCCTATGAGAATATCAAAATATTCATAAATTACAAAATTTAAATTGACATTTACAATCAGAATTATTAATATAATAACATCAATAAGTCAATAATCAAAATATATTTTTTTATAGATATTATTAATTAGTAAAAAAAAAAACAATATCACTTTAATGTATTATTTGTTTAATCATAATTTGACCATAGATTTTTATCATTGATATACTTTATACTTAACTAAATTTATATATTTTATTGACTGGAAGACATCTTTTTCAGAAATAAGTCTCCCTTTGCTCACAATATTTATAAATGTATTATCTATGTATGTAATTTATAAGTGCAATGAAGAGTAAATATAATCATCTAATATGTCTTTTTACAAAGAGCAATTTTTAATAAAGATTTAACTTTTTTTTCGGATAGGTCTAAAATAGTCCCAGCAGTTTAATAAAATTTTATTTCGCAATAACAACTACTGAACTTTTAAGTCGATAGAGTGGTAATACTAATTTGTTTCTTTTGTTATTGTCTCTTGTATTATAAAAGATTTTCTAATTCAATGAACTGATGCAATATTTCATAAAAATGTTTTTATTCAAAGTTCTGTGGGTCCGTGAAGGACATAGAAAAATGTAAATAGTGGTAATACTGAAATTGTCACTGCTGTCAGTAGGTAATCAGTAAGTTGATATAACAATGATTTAAGCTGTCATTATTATGTCAACTTACACGTCATTCAATCAAACACGAGCTGTATGGACAGAGTCCTTTGCTTTTTTCTTTGAGATAAACAGAACCAAAAAAAAAATATACAACGTGCGTACATCGCTTTAAGTTCTGTTAAATTTGTTTTTCGACTTTTTGATAAAAAATTTCAGTTATAAAATATTTTTTCACGTATTGCTTACTTTAATTGCATATCATTAATATTGAGTACAATGAGGTTAAAATCTTACAAGTAAATAAAACGTGACCTTGTACTTTCTGTGTTTATGTCTGCGGGGGAGTATTTTTAATAATTTCGTAATGATATAGTGTCATTTAAACAGTTTTACCATGGAGTCTGTAAGTCCAGTAAAAAAAAATAAAAGTCCACTAGGAGCTCTCCTGAATGCCAAAACATCTATAACGTAAGTGAAATTTTAATTACAGTTGTTTTAGTCTTGAACTATTGTATTTTTATTATAATTAAACAAATTTTTAGCTGCACGAATGTACCGGACAGCCTTTTCGATGCTGCAGCAGCAAAGAAACATTTTTGTAAATTTGGTCGTGTTCAAAAGATTCGTCTGTTCCCAAAGAAACACATGTGCATTATAGAATATGATCAGCCAAGTTCAACAGAACGGGCCTTGCTTAATGCAGGTGCATATGAGGGCAATATGTTTGATGTGACTCGAACAAAGGCAAGAGTGTAAGTGTTATCAATGAACTTAATTGTCAGACATGTATAGCTGTGTAAATTCCCGCATAGAATAGGCCACTCCTTCCTTTCCCTTAGTGTCGTATAAGACGACTAAGGGAGCTTAAAGGTGGAGAAATGGGCAGCAGCATCCCTCTTAAAACATCACCAAAAGCCAAGTGAATCAACTACTGGCTAAACCTTCCTTATGGAGGAAGCTATGTTCACCAATGGACAGTTAACGGCTGATATAAAACAATCAGATCCAATGGCATATTTAATGGAGCTGAGTGGGCTATGCCCTTCCCAGGATGTGAGTGGATTTTCAGTTATGTGCAAAGATTAAATGAGAAAATACAAGCAACTTTTTAAGGGCTTCTCCCTGGAAAATAGCCTCAAATGTACCAATGCAGATAGGTTATATGCTTGATTAGCTATTAGGCTTTATGATATAAAACTGATATCTGATATTTTTTTAATATAAGCAATTAAAATATGACTTATGCACTACATATATACAGTTGAGACATTTATCTCTCTAACATTAATATATTCTTTAACAAGAATGTAGAGCTTTTAGTTTTAAGCATTTTATGGATTTAAACATTTTAAATATCTGTTGATTAAATTCAAACCATCTTTATTCAAATACACTTGTTTACAAGCACTTTTTTATTAAAACTTTTTGTAAATCTACTGCAGGGTTTGGAAGGTTGTTATCTGTTGAGATGAGCCAGCAATAGACTTAACAGTCACTTTTTTAAATCTCTGTTAATATATGTATTTATTTAAAAGTACTATTTCTAAAAGTACAAGCCATTAAAAAGTCTGAACATGATCAACTAACACTATGCACATTTGTCATTCAAGTAATTGTTTAGTGGCTTTGTTCAATAAATGGTTTTTTAATAACACTTTTAAATTTATTAAAAGGTAGATCCAAAATATTATTTGGTATCTTATTATAATGTTTAATGCTCATTCCCATAAAACACTTATTAACTTTTTCTAAACAATACTTCAGAATAGCAAGTTTGTTTTAATATCTAATGTTAAGATTATTGACATAGCTGTTTTTAAGAAACAATTGAAGATGTGCTGCATATATACAAAGTGTTTGCTGTGTAGATCTTGCATTTTCTATTCTTCTATCAATACAATAGGGCCTCGATGATCTGAATACCTAAAATTTACATGTTATTGGGATCTATGAAGCATTGATTTTTATAAAGTTTAAAAAAAATAACTAATAAATATTTTAAATACATATAAATTAAACTTTTTTTAAAATAATCTCTTATAGTATTTTGGTTAGTGGTATTCAGTGATATAGAAAATGCTTTATCTCTCAATTTACACAATACCATTTTTTTAGAATGGAAATATCTACTTCTACAGCCCATTCCAAGCATTCATTTAATGTAGCAATTAAAGTGAATAACTCAATATTGCCAATTCATTTATACACAGAGAGATATCGAAAGTAAATAAGACAGCACTGCACAGTGTGACCAGGGGAGAGAAGTCATTCAGATAAACCAGGGGTTGTTTTTTTTTATTATGCTGTTGTATGGACTAAAGTAAGAACATATTTCATGAAAAGAAAAGAAAGATATTATGTTCTACTCAAAATTTTAAGTTTTCAAATGTTCAAATTTTAAAAATTAAACAGTCTCAAAAACATTTTTTTATGTTATACAGGAGACGTAAAAGTAAAAAGGATGATGATCCCGACTGGATGCCAGATTCTGATGTGGAAGAGGAGTTAGCTGCTATGGGAGGAGCTCCTACTTACAGAGTCACTAGACAAAAACGTAAGTATGGATTGTAGCCTAAGTTTTAGCAGCTCCTGCTATATTATATACTACATTACTTTTTTATTTTTGGATGGATTGTTTTTGGATGTATAATATATGATTGTTAAACAATAATAACAATATTATTTGTACCTACTGGAAAAGATATTTATTGAATATTGTAAATTAATATTATAAAGTACAAATAGGATATTTGGTAATAAATACCTGAAGACATGTTAAAGACATATCTAAAGATATAATCAGTTCTAGACCAGTTTAAAATAATTCATTACTTGAATTCACAGAATCGGAATCAATTATGCAAAATGATGCAAGATTTTAATTATAATTTTTATTTTAGCTATGGAATTAGAAGCAGAAATAAAAATAGTCAAACCAATAAGAATGGTATCAAAACATTCACCTATAAGAAAGAAAATTCCTGCGAGAGAAAAAATACCTGCCCCGTAAGTATACAATTACTTAGATTATTTATTAAAATAGGGTTTTAAAATTATCAAATTGATCACACATAACACTATACAGAATTCGAAATAACCAACTATTCTAGTAGATAATCTTTATTGGATAGAATGTGCTGTTATTTGAATAAATCGAAAATGCGAATTTTTTTTAATAGTGACTCCTTGATCTGTATAGAAACAATGTAAAATTTTATAGAAGTTCAAAGTTTTATTAAAATTGATTTTTATATATGATTTGGCACAATCTGTATAAATAGTAACATGTCTTTATCCCAAATATGCATAATTTCATACAAACTCATTTTCACATATAAGTAAGGTTTATTTATGTCTAAATGAAATTAAACTCATAATTTCTTCTCAGGTCTCAAGTCACTGGTGTAGAGTCACCAGTGGTTGTACCAGCGACTCAAACCAGTATGAGCACAGTAGAGGCAGCTGCTGAATTACACCAGCTCCGATCCAAGGTGTCCTCCACTCCTGATGAGCAATGGAGAATATTGGACGCTAGAGATAGGTAAATATTACGAGTAAAAAAATTACATATTATTCATAGTTTCATTATTAAAGTTACTATTATCATTGTCAATTTGTTTATAGGATTTTAAGGGCATGGGGAGGTGCAGGTTCACGCGTTAAAGTTGGAGGTGCTACGATTGGAACATGTCCAGATATGTGCCCTGAAAAAGAATTGCTGCATAGGCAAGCTGAGCATCAGGTATGAACAAAAAGGAAAATGTGATTACTTACTACCTAGATTGCTACTAGGTAGACCAATCTTTAGCAACAGCAATATGCACTTGTGTTGTTGTGTTTTGGTACTTGTACTTTTTCTTCAGTAATTCGGGTATAAAAGGTATAAATGTAATAGAATCATTGATACTACGAGTATAATAAGTCTCACTGTTATGGTCTTAAGCCTTATTTAGTTTATTATTAAAGTTTTAAGCCGCTTTTGTTATATAGGACAACTTAAGACGGATCTAACACGGCTTGCTGGACGATAGTTTTAAATATCTTCGATCTAGAAATTGGAAAATCGAAAAGTGTACATGCTAATTATATATTACAGGTGATGACACTAGAGTCGGTGCCAGGGTCTGACGGCCAGCTGGAGCTACGGCGTGCCGTGAAACAGTACAGTCGCAGTTCCGCTGATCAGGAAATACCAATGTGTTATGAATTGCGACCCGCGCCCGTACTCATGCGCACATGTGCATACCTTTTGCATGAAATAGCTGATACCAAACGTCAAGTAAGTACCCATCATTATTACAATTTCATCTGTTAACTGTCCTTTACTGAACATAAATTACCTTTTGCATAGACTGTCACTTAGATTGTTCTTGTGCCACCTACATCTATTGCTGCTCCACATATAAGGTTGTTGCTCTAGCCAGTGGGGTAATTCTATAGTATGATCGCTTATACCAGGTTGTTACTTGAGTCCAGAATTATTAATAATCAGTTGTTTGAGTTATATGCCTGCCCATTGCTATTTTCGTTTGTTGGTCTTTTGGGCTATATATCCCATCATCATCGTCGTTAATGTAGCATGCATGTTCATTCATCTGACTGAAAACCAGACTGGCGACTAAGTATCCTCAGTATATGACAATGAGTTACTTTATAAGCAATGATTGTTTTAACAAATTCATATAATTGATACTAAGTATTTTTTTGTAATCTTATTAATATAATAAATTTGTAACTAGACGAGCTTCATATGCGAACGATATTCAAGAAAAAATTATAAAAGAAGTCTGAGTAAGACCAATACATGCCAAAACAGTATTTTTTAGTAATCTTGTTTATCTGTATGTTTGTTCCAAGATCACAAAAACTTGTACTAAAACAAACTGGATACGGTTTTAACATTATATTTCTGAAGGTCTAACTTAAAATCTGGTAAAGTTTTATTTTGATAAGCCATTTCGAAGTGATGTATTTTATTGGTTTTCGTACTTCTGAAATCTACGCGTACGAAGTAGCGAGTAAAAATTATTGTAATATGCTAGTGTAATATAAATCGTAATGTCTTTCAGGTAACTTTGGCTGATTGGTTTCATTTCATGTGGGACCGATTTCGTGGGATTCGGAAGGATATAACACAACAGGCTTTATGTTGTTCTGGCAAGTATTAATTGTATTATTAGAAAATTTTGTTAGAATGTATAATATAGTAAAAGTATATAGTGTTTTAATTTTGTCTAGAAATATTAAAAGATTCAAATATAAAAGATGTCAAATTAAGACAAGCATTAGTCATGGCATCAGTTGTATATCGAAGCTATAAATCAAAGTGGTCAAAAAGTTAATAATAAATACAATTATTTACAGAATCAATTCAACTAGTAGAAATGTGCGCCCGGTTCCACGCACATTGTGCGGCTCGTCTTGCAGACTTGGAGCACACTCAGTTTGATCAAAAGTTGAATACGGATAACCTTACTAAGTGCCTTCAAACCCTTAAACACATGTATACTGATGTTGGATCTGAAGAAAAGCCTAGAGAAGCAGAATTCAGAGGTTACATAGCTTTGCTCAATCTAGGAGATGCAAACTTTTGGTGGGAGGTAAGCTTTATTGTTTCTGTAAAACTTATCTAGTTGGTCAAGTAGTGCATTAACACATTTTGCTGATTATACCTACCTAACTTATTTCATTTATATGTGACATTGTATTTCCACAAATTCTGAACTGATTTTAATTAATTGTAATCTAAAAAATAAATAATTGTAAATTAGAGTTTGCTGTTATATTGGGCCTATTTAATTCTGTTGATTTTAAAGTTGAGTTGATCTATTTTCATATATAATTAAACAGTTATGAATGATCATTTGCTACCTGTTTGTATCATAATAATATCAATACAATGTACTTTAATAGAGGTTGTGTTGATTCTTAGGCTAAAAGTTTTAATATTAATCTCAATTTGAACAGATAAAAAATTCCATTGATTAACTCATTTAGGATTTTAGTTGTTATTATTTATATATTTATTAAAATATGAAATATATAAATAACAGAGATATCATACGAAAGCAATGGGGTGTGTCTTGACTGACCTACAATGATCACGGAATTGATTATGGTTTATTTTTTTTTTATTTCAGATTAAGCAATTACCACAAGAAATACAGAAATCTGAAGACATAATATTTGCCATTAAAATATTTAATGCATTAGATAATAACAATTATGTGAAGTTTTTCCGGCTTGTTAAACAGCAAGCTACATATCTGCAAGCTTGTATTCTATTACGATATTTCAACGATGTCCGAGCACGGGCGCTGGCAAGGATCGTAAAAGCTTACGCACCCAGAGGCGGTTCTCGTTACCCTGCCCAGGACTTAATGGACGCATTAGCTTTCGAGTCTGTTGAAAATATGAAATCTTTTATCAATCATTACGGATTAAGGTTTGCTAAAGATCAGTACGAACTTTCCGTTATTCTAGATAGAAATCAATTCATAGATGATAGCGACCCCTATCCTATTTCAAGAGCTATAAAACTTATTGAGTCCAAACGACAACAATCGGTTGGTGAGATAATAGCAGGGGGGAAAATGCCAGAGTTTCAATTAAATGCACACAGCCTTTATACAAGCTTCACTAGCGATGGAAAATTAAAAGAGTCTGCTCTTACTGCTGAAGACTATGGATACAACACAATAAATGATAGTAATAAAGATGTTCGAGCATTAAAAGCTGAAATTCAGAGACTGTCACAAGGTGGTCGAGGATTTTCAGACAAAATACAAGAAAAATGTAGTAATAGAACTAAACCAGAAATAGTGTCATTCAATTCTAATGTTGTTACTAACAATATTAATGACAAATTGGACAATGCCTGTTTATTTCTATTCAAACCAGCTATACCTGTTGCGCCAATCGAAATTATTGAAAATGCATCTGGTAAATTATTTGTAGATAATGATAAAAGTAAATTCGTGTTTTCTCCACCTCAAAAACCTTTATGTCCTATATTTGGCGAAAAATTGAACAAAAAAGACAATTCAAATAAACAAGCAGTCGATTGGCATAATGTATCCAAAACAGATGAAACTGATTCAGCTAAATCTGTATTCACTCGATTTAATGTGGAACCTAAAGGAATTGTAAATATATTTAGTAAAGCGAAAGATACATTGATATCTAGTAAACCGGATAGTACCGTAAAATCTGGAAATATGGGTAATATATTTAACAAATCTGCTACATCACAAGAAATACAAAATCCATCAAATATATTTGGTAACTTTGGTAAAACATCGTCATTGAAACTAGAAACGAATATTTTTTCAAAATCTTATACTGACCATAATAAAACAGACGTTGTTGACAAAACATTACCAGGTAGTTTATTCAAAAGCGCATGCAAGCCATTGAATGGTCCAGAAACTAAGGCCTACTCAATATTTCAAAGTAAGAATAAAGATCATTCCATCGCAGCTAACATATTTAAATCTGTGAACGCGGTCACATTTAATAATGTTTATGATTTTAATCAGAGTGAGGATTCACAGAAATTAGAAGAGCAACGTAAACATGAAGAGAAGATTAGAGAAGAAGAAAGACAATTACAAGAAAAATTAAGAAAAGAAGAAATCAGGATTCAACAAGAAAGACAAAAGGAAGAGGAAAGGAAAAAAGAAGAAGATAGAAAACGACAGGAAGAGAAACGTAGGAAAGAAGAGGAAATAAGACAAGAAGAATTAAGAAAAAAACTAGAAGAAGAAAAGAAGGCTGCACTGCAAGCAGCAAAGCTAAAAGAAGAAGAAAGGATAAAGAAATTCAAAGAAAGAGTTGACAAAAAGTCAGCAGAATTAATTGAGGAACTTCTAAATGAAGTTAATGGTGAAACTATTAGAAGTTTAATTAAAGAAGAAATTGATAAGATGAAACAATTGATGTCACATACAAACATGGTAACTGAGGAAATAGTTACTGAAGTATGTAAAGAAATTTGTCTTGCAGAAGTGACTGCTGAAAAATTCCGGACAGATAAATTATTGAGGAAATGGTACAATATTTGGAAGAAACAAATTATTAGGAATATAAAAAGAAGACATTTACTTGAAGATACACCAGTATGGTTAGTTGAAAATACACCTATCGAAAAAGCATCTTATTTGAGACGTAGCATAGAGAATGCTGCATTGAAACATATGAATGCAATTCATAGGGGATATAAATTTAGTGGCGAGCTCAAACTACTACCAGCACCTGAACCATATAATATTATGGAAATAATAAAATCTCCTTTATTAAAAAGGATGAAACAAATTAACTATCCATATGACAAATGTTTTTTTTGGAAAGCTACTATTGTATTGCCAACATCAAAGAAATGGTTATGTAGGAAAATTGATATTGAAAAATGGATTTTAGATGCTTTTAGTGATAAAATGGAACATGAGATTTCAAATACTTTAATACATGTTAAAAAACAGTCATGGAATAATTTAATGGATTTTGCCGTGTCGGTTAGTTTGATAAATAAGGAGAGATATGATTATAGCGAAGGACTGGAAGGTACTAATGGTTTGATATTTTACTTTTCTGAATATGAAACAAATTTTTCTGAAACAATACAAAACACATTAAAACATAAATATCCATATCAGGTCATTCCTGTCGCTGTAATATTGCCAAAAGTGAGCGATGAGTTTTATAAAATCATAGAACAATTACTTACAAGTTACCAAAATAACAAAGTAATTTCAACATTCAAGATTTTTATTATAGACACACAAAATGTTTTCGAATCTTTAAATGCTTGCACTAAAAGCTCATTAAAATGGATGGCTAAAAATTGTCCACAAAATCCAGCCCATGAAATAGATTTTCTAAAATCTATATGTGAAAGATACTTAGGGAATGAGGTATGGTATAGACTGAAATCAGAAGGAGATAGTCGAATTCGTATTGTACTGAAAGATTTACAAAAGCTTGTTGAATGTTACAATGTTGCTGTTGACAAATTAACAGAAATTATTACAAATGAAGATTTATTTAATTATCCTTCATTCCCCTTAGAATTCAAAAAATATTTAAATAGTACATCACCTTATCCCAAACCTTACGAATTCATTCCAAGTAATGCAAAGAATGCTGAAAATATATCAAAGATTAAAGACTTAATGAAACAACTGAAATTGCCATATCCAGTATCAGAATTTCATCCGTTGAATGTAACGAATATGCAACAGCAAATCAGGAAATATTGCAATCAGATTGGTTGGTTCGAAAATCCGGAAGAGGTTGTTTGTAAAGTTGTTGCTGTCTTGCCAAATGAATTTTCCGACTTGAATATGCCTAGGGAAGAGTTTACTCGATATTTTTCCCATTATGATCTTGTGGATGTTTTAAATGTGATAGTATATGAAAAAATAAATAGGCTAAATAACTTTTGTAACACATTCGCAGTTTATGAAAAACCAGTATTAGATGAGTATCGCCACCTTCACTGGATATTTGAAATTGGGGTTTTATGTAAAATGAAACATAAGGCTATTGAGTATGAAGATGAGTTAGATGCTTTCATTGAATCAAAACGACGTAAAATAGCTTTGGATTCGATGGAGTATCTTAAATTGGAAGATAAAGATTCCACTTTGGTCGATGAAAATATCAAAGCAACAGAAGAAAGCATATCCAAATATAATAGTTGTGAAGAAGCAGTAAAACAATTAGAAAGACAAATTGAAGAAGAGAAAAAGAAATCTATAGAATTAGAAAATTTACTAAGAATTGCTCTTTCTGATGTGTAATGAGATAGTATAATGTTTTTTTACGTCTAAACTTATCTAATTAATTTGTTATTAATTAAGAATAAAATTCATTTTGTATTATTTTAATAAAACTAATTTTTTATTTGGTAATTTTTATTATCGCCGAATACAGCTTGTGTACTCTCTTAGATAGATATTGTAAGAAGCAACTCGGAGAATAAAATAGAATTGTAACTGAACGATGTTTCTCAAAAAATTCTATGTACAGATGTCTAGTTACAATTTTATTTTCTTACAGATATCATATTGGTATATAGAAAATATCTGATTAAACTTGAACGAGAAGTCTTAATATTTTTTTGTACATTTGTTTTGGGATCACGTAAAACAATTGCACCAAATTGAACGCAGTTTTCACAGTTGTGTTCCTGAGGGTTTAATTTAAAATCTTATGTGTGTTTATCTTCATATACTGTCTAGTAGAAAATGTCATTGAACAAAATCACACCTTGCGACTAAAATTCACGAGTACGAAGTTGTAAGCAGGAGGTGCCCTTTTCTAATATTCTGTTACTTTGTACCTTTTGGCGCTTTAACGGTTTAACCAATCAATTTAAAATTTAGTATGCTTACACATAAATATTTGGTATGGAGATGAACATAAGCTAGATTTTATCTTGATTAATTAATATGTCTAGATCGCAGATAAAGTCATGGATCAGTCTGAAAAAAGATAAATCTTATTAAACTTGTGTGCATTCTGTATTGTCATTTGTACCTTTACCAAGCTCACTGCGTGCTAATAGAAGACAACGGGGTACATTCTGGAACGCCATTTCTTTAAACCTGCCACTAAGATTATAATTAAATTTGACATCACAAAATATATTCTAACAATCAACACGAACTGAATTTCTAATAGATTTATATATTATATATAAATTTAGTTTATGATAGTCCATAAAATAATGTTTGTGGAAGTACCAAATTAAAATATTAGGTTTGAGATACGTTTAGAGAAGGGATGCCTCAGGATTGGATTTGCTATGCTTTTTTCATGGTAAGAGACTCATCAGCAATGGAACATATATTCGCATATGGGGTCAGCTAAGCTGATGCACGTCGACCCATCGGGATCTTTTGTGCTTCCCCCTGCCTAATACCATCATTTCATAGATTCTTTGTGTTACCTTAAAGATATCCCGCGGTTTAAGATATCTGTAGTCCCCTGGCTTTGGATAAGCCGTTCCCAGTAACATATATTACTATTTTGAGTTTATTCCAATTGTCACGTAAATTAGTACATAGACAAATATCTACAGTATTTGAGATGGAAAGTACATAATTATGCATTTTGTCTTGAAAAATATGTATTAGCATGATCATACAGACAAGTTGTGAATATTCTCGTTTTAACATTAAATGTACCTAATAATTTGAAATAAGTATGTTACTAGCATTATTATTCACTACCTACATACCTGTGCACCAAATTTATTTCAAATCTGCTCAGACATTTAACTGTGATTCAGTAACAAACATCTTTACAAACTTTCATCTTTATGAAGGTAGGATGAAATTAAGCCTGAAATAAATATTAACAGTCTAAACATAAAATAAAAATAGTAATAATAAATTATACAATTTCAGTAGATCTACTTCCATAGGCAGTAAATTGTAACAGTCTAAGGTATATCCTATTTTTAGTAATAAACAATAAATGTCTAAAAGATTTTTGTACAAAAAATTTTACTTATCAAGGAAAAGAGACACCTCTCATATACTGTCAATCTTCATGATGATGATGATAAATAATAATACATATTATTATTTAGGAAAATATATATATTTTAAATTATGTTAACATTATAAAAAGTACCATATATAGGTTATAATTTGTCAATATCTTCTGCAGGTGCCACAGTATTTAAACATATATCCACAAACTCTGTAAATATTGGCTCTTGCATATATTTTTGAATTAGTTCATCTGGATGGGGTGACTTATCCAGTAATTCCAATATTGTTCTAACATGTGGATTTTCTAAACATTTTTTTAACTCTGTAGAATTTCCTGAAATGAAAAATAATGGTATGATTTGTTAACTTAGCTAGTCAGGTATACTTTTAAGTCAATTTTCTACAAATCTAACAGAAATTCTCAAAAATGTGCTGAAAAAACCACTGTGGTGTGGTCCCGGCATAGAACAGACCACCCCTTCCTTTCCCATGGTTGTTGTAAGAGACAACTAAGACAACTTATGGTTTAGGGATGAGTAGCAGAGCAGCATCCTTCTTCCTAATTGCGGTTGCCAACCTGCCTGTCAAGCATGAGCATAATAAGTATGTTCAGCAGTGGACCGATAACTATCCTAAAGTTTATATGTATATTTTTTATACGGGGGGTCAGCCCCCACTTGAAATTAATTCTAAAATTAACATTGGTAATGTTAATTTCATTTTGAGTTATTTACATATCCTAGTAAATGAAATGGAGAACTATAGTAGATACCTATTATGCACAGTAATATTAGTTCTAAAACTGATTATACTTACTTAACAGTTCTAATTTTTCTGGTGCAACAGTATCTTCTGTAGGAAATTCATAACTTAAGCTTGGTTTTGAAGCACACACTTCAGGTTTAGATGGAGCTGAACAAGGATTTAGTTTGTGCTCCTTACAGCACAAAACTGAGCAACTAGAACAATATTTATGTATATAATAATAAATAGGTATAAGGTGTAAAAATTATTAACTAGGAATGGTTAGTTGGATGTAGGGTTGGGAGATGTCTATGATCATTACAATGATTAATATAAATGTAAACATTATACTTGCTGTAAACTTTTTTTGTAACACATAACACATGGTGAGATATCACATGCTTTGAACTGAATTCAAACTAGGTAAATACCAAATACTAAGTAATTATGTGATACATGTAGAAATTTAAGTTATACTTACTAAGGTTGGAGACATGTAGGGCATTTGTATTTAGGAATTTCACCACATTGAATACATCTGGTCATATTTCTTATTTACTTCATTAATTATTCACGAGTACAAAAGTGATGTTATAATTTTAATATCTCGATAATTGTTTCTGTAAATGAAGTGAGTCAAGTTTGTGAATTAAAATATAACTTTTTTTAAACAACTGCAGTCAACATGGTAAGTATAAATTTAATACAAAATAAAAACAAGTACAAAACAATCACGAAACAGAACTGTCAACATGCTTACTTCTTCGAAGAAAAAGTTTCTACAAATCTATGCAACCAATTCATTGAAATTTAAAAATTTTCGCTATAAAATGACCGACTCTTTTATAATACCTTTTGAAATTGGTATTTTGTATAGGATATATATTATAAATAGTAGTACAAAAATATTAATATTTATTTATTTTATTGTGTTCCAGTTATGTTAATATATAGACAGTGCCGACTCTAGAATAAGTTACCTGGAAATCACAGCACACTAGATTAGTTACTTTTGACTAAATTCAGAATTATTATTTTTTAATTTATATCTTAATCACATATTTTAATTTGATAGTTTCGCGAAATTATTGTTTTATAAATTATTGTAAACCAATTTTATAGTAATTTTGTTTTAAATCTATTAGAAATTTAGCTCATATTGGTCCTAACCTTAAAGATTTCATTGTGATATCAAATAAAATTTTAATTTTCGTGATAGGTTTAGAGAACGGGGCCTCAGAAACGATCTTAAAGATTGGTAATTAGTTACTCTGAGGTGCATTATTTAAATTGCGTTGTGCTTTTAATGTCACAATGACAACACTAATGTGTCATTGTATAACATATACGGCAACCCTAAGTTGACGGGGGGAAAGGGATTGTTAGTAATGGAGACTGAGAATCCCATTGCTAGCAATATACCCAACCAGGTCGACCTCCTCGCGGTTCCCCCTGGAAACTATCATGATTAATTCCTGATGAATTCATCATGATGGGCTAACTGGCCTGTTTTCATTCTCATCTATCACCCTTCACTGGTGCTCCGCCAGCGTATCCCGTTAGCGCAGGCGGGGTTACCATACCATTTTCACTCATAAAAAAAAAACCCCTAAGTTGACGCTAAGTGATTTGCTAAGTGAGAGCATTCGATCCGTATCGATCGTTTTATTTTTTCGCTGATCTCTCATTTAAATCTAGTTTCATTTATTTCCCTTGGTTATATATTCTTTGGTATATATTATAGCCTTGTTATAGTTTTTTGGTTATATATTATGGCCTATTACAGGATAGATGTCAAAAATGCTTGGTAGAAATAAACTCAATTTCTATAGAGTTGTTGACATTTTTTTTTTAAATATTGACACTTGTTGTTTAACTGATTAATATAAAAAAATTATAAAGTTATTCAATTATATACTCGTAAATAATTTTTCGGATAATAGGTGAAATGATGATGATGAAATAATATTTTAATTTTTTAAAGAGTGGGTATACTTTCGGATTCAGTATGGTATCGATATCGATATTTGTCGTAATTGTGTATCAAGTAAAACAAGTCATGCTTACTTTAATCCCCAGAGTGGTGGACGAAATCATTAGGAATTTAATACGATAATTTTTACGGGGTACCACATGTAAATTGATCTTCTGGTGTATATATTATAAAGGGGTTAGCTTTCTTCCCATTAATATGCTAGGTTGTATTTTTTTAGATGGATGATTATGGAATGACACCTCCGCCTGTGTTATCAGTATATATTAGCGAGGTACCAGTAATAGGTGAAAATAAAAATAGGTCTGGCTAACAGACCCATCATGACGCAATCATCAGGAATTGACCACGAAGCAACAGTATAATTAAAAATTAAATATCTAAGCACATACGAGGATTATCGAGGAAATATAATAAGTATCTATTCATTAAGTAGTTTTATGGGACAAAAATATTTTCGGTATCTGCTATTTTTTTACGTTTCTGTGTTACTTATGTTAAGTTCAGAATTCATAAAACTCAACAGCAAAAATTTGTTTCTGATCAGAATGTAACTTAAGCTCTAAAGAAATTAGTCGGTATAAAATAAAAAATAAAATGATACTCAAGTAATTTTAATTGATAAATTACATTTATGTTATAAAGCTGTAATCTGCAGCTTTACCCGATGTAAAAAGTATTTATACTATAGTCATGTACTCGTAGTTATATTATAGAATGTGGTCCATCTGTGTAATTTATAATCACAACTATTTGTGATTAAATAAGATATATCCAAACATCTTTAAAACGAACATATTTTTAAACATAAAAAAAACTGTAGGACAGGATAGTGAAACGTTAATTTATAGGGCAATACTACATTATTATTATACTCGTAACTTAACAGCCCATTAGTGTCCCAGTTTTGGGCACAAATCTCTCTCATAAGAAGAAATAACCTATTATAGGTCTGGCTTGTACTTGTATTTTGTGCTTCATCATAGCGGCAAATTTACTGGCCATATATCGGAATATCTTAAATAATAAATATAAGCTAGAAACAATATTTGATCTCGCTAGAAGTAAAATATTCAATATTCAATTATTTTACCTGTTAATATGTGTGTACGTACTTGTACATACCATATGCACCTATTTCGATACAGGAAATACTTGTACAAGTTCCAAGACTATTCTTACAGTTGATGGCACTTAAATAATAATACATTATATTTATTATACTTAGGTAATTGTTTTAAGTAAATCTAATACTTAGTTAGATGTAATATAGTACGTTGAAGTAAGTTTTCTTATAATTTAAACTAGGTATATATAGGTCATTTGAATTTCGAACGATCATAGGTGTTACAGATAGGTAATATATATATGTAGGTAATTATTGCATATATTTATTTATACATAAACAAAATAGAAATAAGTTTTCAACAATTTTATTTCATGGAAACGTTAATTTATACTATTACAACTGAATTTATTCTACTTATATTTATTATTTTATAAAATAAATTTATTTTTAAAAGTATATATTTTTAATAATGTACATTATACATATAGACCAATAATTTTATATGTTTATAGGAATCGACGCCTAATGTAAATTAAGTGTTAACAAGGTTGTTTCAATGGAATGTATCATAAACATATCAATTACTAAGGATCCGGCCCGACTTCGCACGGGTAGAATTTTCGAAAATAATTTATAGCCTATGTTACACGTTGATATATAGGTGAAAGAAATTTCAAAATCAGTTAAGTAGTTTTCGAATTTGTCCATTAATACTTATTATCCATTAAAATCAATGTAATGCATTATGAGAATATTGGGGTCGATTCTGAAACACCACATCTCTAAACCCATCTCTAAAAATAAAAAATTCTAAACTATCGCGAAACTATCAAATTAAAATATTAGATTAAGAAATAAGTTTAGAGCAATGGTCTCCACGATCGAACCCCTAATATGTTCGTTTATATTTAATTAAAAATACTATTTTATGTGGCTCTACAATCCCAGGACACATTTTTCACCATCTCTAAGAGGAGGTATTTTTTTAATATTAAAAATAAAATGGTAAGACCGCTTGCGTGATCGGTATACGCTGGCGGAGCACCAATGAAAAAGGATAGGTGAAGATGAACTGTTGGGATATTAGGTGTTAATTTCTAGTGACGTACGGTTACGTTACATTACATGTTACAGACATAGTCATCTAGAATTTAAAGTCGAATTCGGTGTGCTCAACGTTCTGAGCAAACCAAAATTTGCCCTAACAAAGCAATACATATTTTAAACAGAACCAAAGACATGTTATTATTTAATGTCAAATCCATATACACAGTAATTACGTTGCGATTATTTAATTTAGCGTTATAAAGTTAAACAGCAGATAAATTAATGACATTTTGGTTTAAGTGTCACATTTTATCGTATTTTAAATAAAATGTTGAACACAACTTATAGGTTAGACTTAGTTTTAATTATGGTCTTAATAATAATACTTATAGAAAATCAGTTATTAGGTAAGCACCACAGACGTAACTAGAAATAGATACTGCAGCTGTTTCAAAACTAAACGCGTCACTACTTGTCTTGTTTGAAATGAAAAAAGCTATAATTTATCGATGGGAAACCTCCTTATGTAGGTAATAAACATTTTCGACGATACCTATCCACGTAGTAGGTTAATTTTTATCAGTTTATTAAACCATTAATCATTTTTTGACATAAATACCATGCAGTTACTCTGAATCGAAATTTGGTCGCAGTCAAGGTTCTAATGAGCCTAATTTATGGTCACAAATTGACATAGAAAGTACACGCAGGCGTCAATTGCATGTCTATGGTAGTTACCTTACCTAAAACTTACATAATTTATATAGACTAAAAGAACAAATGCATTCGAGCCATGTAAAATGTTTTCAAAGCTCTTGATTAAAGCACCATTCACACAGGTACAAGTCAAGAGTCAAAGTCTTTAAAACTCCGGATCGTAACCGCCGAGAGATCATTTACAAATGTACTTAAAATTTTACTATTTAATTAGATTACATATAGAAAAATATAACAAAATGCCATTCCGCAGAAAGCATTGAGAGCACGTGATTATTTCAGTACATACTCTGGGACACTTACGGATTGATTTCTCCTGACACGGAACTATGCCCACAAGTTGTTTTCAAATGATCACTCGAAACTATGTGAATGGTACTTTATAGTAAAAAAATAAATAAAAGGAATTAAGGAACAACGAATTTTCTCATATGATTGAACTTCATGAGGTAAATTGGCTGTAAAATTACTAAGTAGGTAGAAGTATAGTGAACATTGGAGAGGAAAATACTGCAGACATTTCTCAGGCCTAAGTTCAAAATTATATATTTTACAACACTTTTGAGTTATTGTACTTTATGTAGGTGTATAATATACATTACATTTCGTATATTCTCACAACTTTTATTTGGCAGTTGGAATAAATTATTCGTATTAGCTTATATTATATTGGCTAGGAACGTCCATCGGGCGTCAAAGTATACTATTCTGTATCCAAATAATATTAAATTTTATTTAATGTATTCTCTGTCGCCGTCCGTTCTCTATATTTAGTCTTAAAAGGCGGTACTACAAGTGTCCGGAATATGTCGGATCCGGTAAAAACGGCTACGTTATAGTTCCCCGTGGTATATTCTCGTGTTGTCGCTGATGTATAGGTCTGGTCGAGGCGGTGCTGCGCCTACGTCGGCGGCCGCCACCGCGTGGTACCGCGCCCGTAAGTGGTGTGCTGCTGCTTTCGGTTGTCGTGACCGAGTGAATATACCCTTCTTATTGCCCCCCGCTCTTATTATACCTGATTGGATATGTACCATTAGATTTTACACTAGTTAAAATGAAACAGATGGTAAGAACAATGTATTACTAATATTAAAACGGCGTTCAGCGGTATTGGAAATATCATCATCATCATATTTCTATCTTTATGTTATGTCTCTTTCATTCAGCGCTAATCGCAGACATTTTTATATTCACTCTCCTTCTGGACATAAGTATAGTCTTATATGATTTTTAATTATTAAATAAATTTTAGTGCTATCCATACAAGCTCATCCCTTTAAACCCAACTGAACTCATTATCATCATATCAGCCTTTAACTGTCCGCTGCTGAACATAAGCCTTCGCCTTGGGGGGATTGCCAGTAGTTGCCACACTTGGCAGGCGGATTAGCAACTGAATTCAACTGAATTCAAATTATAAACTGCTCCGGTACTAACCTTGTTTAGTTTTGAAATCAGCAAAGTTCCATATGAACTCGCCGACGAAGAAGCCGCTTTGGCGCAATTTGTCGAACGCCTTAAAATGTTCTGACATCAGAGCCACCTGGTAGTCTTCTGACCATACGAATGTCGGCAACTAAAAATTGGAAATGAATTGTAATATATATAATATTGGTAACTCCAACTGCGCTATTACTATATGCTTAAGGTGTAACAGTCAAGGACGTTAATTGAGAATGATGTCTAGTCAGTTAGTCCATCGTGACAAATGAGGTGAGGTCGTGCAACGGGATGGGTGTATAGCAATGGTGTGACTAGACCTTGTTATTAACAATCCTCTTCCTTTTGGTATTAGTATTAGCAATTTCATAAAAAATTGCTAAAGATAATTTTTTTATAACACAGGGGGCAAACGAGCATGCGGCTTACTTGACGGTAAGTGACTACCGTCTCTTATGTGCACCCGCAACACTAAAGGAATTGCATATGTTCTGCCGACCTTTTAAAAGGTAATATGCTCTTGAAGGTTACGATGTCGTATCGGTGCGGAATTACTGCTGCTGGAAGTTGTTTCCAAAGCATAGTTTATTGCTAGTAACCTAATAGCTAGCTACGTTATATACATCTTATCGTTTATATATTTATACTCAATTTCTTCAGTTTTTCTCCGGAAAAAAGTTTCATTGGTAGAAAACTCCCTTAAAAAATATTCTAATGATCTAGATTTCAATCTATATACTAACGAAGTGCATTCCGGCGATGGTGTCTGCGCCGTACTCGGACATGAGGACGGAGCGGTTATACTTGCGGTGCCACTGCAGCGCCTCCCGCGCCACGTTCTCCGCCACGTGCTGCAGCTCGCCCGTCTCGCTGTACCAGCCATTGTAGCGGTTGAAGCTGATCACGTCCAGGTGCTTGCCCTGATGTAGGACAACAATTTGAATGCTTGGTCTTAAAGTTAGGATATCTTACTTCTAGGTCCAGGTTTGTAGGTCTTGAAAAACCAGACACCAAACATTTGAGAGTACAACCCAGAGTACATAGACTTGATCCAATTCAAAAAAGTTCGTTTCCAAAATTGATCCGACCAGGATACGAATCCGAAATTTTATTTACGTAAAGCCACGTGCCGACCTTTACTATGGAAGTCATCAAAATAATTGAATTAAATGAATGGATATAAATTTTTATTGTTCTTTTAAAACAAAAGATATAATTTTAAATATTGTAGACAATAAATAAGCTTTATTAGAACATGTTATTACATTTTTTTTTATACCACTGAGGTGGCAAACAAGCATACGGCCCACCTGATGGTAAGCGGTTACCGTAGCCTATGAACGCCTGCAATACCAGAGGTATTACGCGCGCGTTGCCGACCCTGAAGAAACCTCTTTACCCCCCTTTTGAAGAACCCCATGCTGTAGTCTCTCGGGAAAACCTCGGCAGGGAGCTCATTCCATAACCTGAGTGTTCGTGGGAGAAAGCATCTCTGAAACCGCGTTGTACGCGACCATTTAGGCTGTAAGGTATGAGGGTGAACTCCCTGTCGATGGCGAGCCGTACGATGATAGAAAGTGGCCGTAGGCATCATATTGAATAATTCCTCTGAGCACAATCCGTTGTATAAGCGGTAGAACACGCAGAGTGAGGCAAAATCTCTCCTAAGACTTAAGGGTTCAATACCGCTTGCAAGCATGGGATCATCGACAATTCTCATAGCTCGTCGTTGCACTGAGTCGAAGGGTTCAAGCTGGTATCTAGGTGCTCCCGCCCATAAGTGACAGCAATACTCCATACGGGGCCGGATTTGCGATTTGTAAAGCATTAATCGCTGATCCGGCGTGAAGTAATGCTTCGCTCTATTAAGCACACCGAGTTTTTTGGATGCCAGCTTCACCTTATCTTCGAGATGGCCACGGAACTGTACGTCACTAGAGATGTCGACACCAAGGATCCCAATGCTTTTAGAGATATTAAGAGACGTGCCTTGGAACTGTGGGGCCACATTTTATCAGATCGATTACACACGTAATTTTGTAGTCGATTAAAAAAAGAACTACTAAATTACATGTGTTTGACGAGAATCAATTTTTAAATAAGACTTACCTGTTCAAAGAATATGGAGAGGCATTCAAATTAGAACATTTTTATTTTTGCTCCTAATAATATTTTTAAAATAGTAGCTAGCCATTTATGCATTTTATCTTTGAGTATTTTTTAAATAAGTGAAAACATGGGCTAAAAATGTAATAATGGTGATCGACCAGATAGGGTATATTATAAGTAATGGGTTAATTAGACTCCATCACTGACAATCCTTTTCCCCCCTATCTATAAGTATTAACTGTGCTATTTAACTGTATATTTATTTTTTAGGTAACCTACCGCAATATCCTTGGGATTAGCTAGTGCATAAGTGACTGGTCTCGATACATCCATAGTCTTGACATGCATCACCACTTTTCTGAAACCAAATTAATTATAATTGTTGCATCTAACAACAGTATACTTTGTTATGTCCATGATACTGCTCATATAGGCGACAGTTACCACTTTCCATCAAGTGGGCCGTCAGCTTGTTTGCCATTCTAAGTGGTATAAAAAAAAACCTCTATAATTGCTCAGCGATAAAATTCTTATTAAAACTAGCTAGTGTAGTATTTTTTTTTTTAATATTTCATATAACTTCATAGCGATTCTAAAAGTGATTTGTGAGTAATATTGGTAGGAAAATAAAGAGGTCAAGTAACACAATAGCTTTACTGATATGAATAACACACGGTAACAAACGAAAACGACTGGTTATGATTGAAATTTTACGGTCACCTAGAAATATTACAAATATTTACCGTAGATAAAAGAAAACGTATGACTATTCTACTTTTTAGGTAAATAAATAAAGGCGCTGTTGAATTGAATGCACGAAACAATGTTTTTATAAATCATATGCAAACATTAATAATGATAATCATGACAAAGATTTCTGACCACATAGATTGAAGATAGATTATATTATATATTCTCTATGGGTAGAGAGCCATATGCCTCATATATGGTGGCATATGGCTCAGATATGGGGGCATATCCTAGTTTCTATAGAGATACTGTACTATACTCGTATTGTTGCAAGAAACCAAATATAACCATTATCTAAGGGTATAATAGAGTCATAAAAGATAACTGAATTGCAGATTTTTTTTTAATAGAATGGATATTCCATTAGCGCACCTATATAATTAAATATTTCCCTGTGCTACGGTCAGACCACTATACTACTTAAGGCCTACGCAAACAAGAGCGTTTATTTAAGCTTTAAACCTAACCTTAAAAGGTATATATACCTTTTCTGTGGACAAAATGTTTGTTTTTATAAGCTTGAAATTCATTGCCACAATATACACGATATTGTGGCAATGAATTTTAAGTGATTTAATTATCTTTCGTCGAAATTAAAAGTCGGGGAAGACGAGACAAACATAGATGGAAATTTTGTCCCGGCCAAAACATTCTTTGACTGCAAACTCCAATATTAATACAAGCTGAGATTTCAATGGCCGAAAATATTATTTAGTGATTAAGGATATTAATAGGAAACTCTAATTAATAGAATATTTTCAAGACACTATTTTTTACTGAATATTTTTCATACGGGGAAATGATAAATTAATTCACACTGTTAAATTAATTCATTGTGTCGTTTAATGCTATTGAATAAAATTTTATTTTTTCAAATGATTTTCTTACAATGTGACGAATATTTGGTACTTAACAACATTCTCATTACCAAATTAATTGGATCTACATCATTTATAAATAATTAAAATTTTCAGAATAAAAAAAAATTTAGAACTGTACTGTCTCTATATTGTCTATGTGAAGTTATGTAACCTGTTATTGTGGAGCCTATAAAGTAAACAAATTTACATTTAACATACGTTATAATTTATAGTACGTGTAATGTAGTAGTAAATATAGTACTGTACACTTTCATCGTGATTGATTTATAGAAGATCAAATAGATAAATCTAAATGGAGAGTCGAATACCAAAAATATCCCAAAAACAGACAAAACGACGTTTGTGTAAGTCAATTAATTAGCAATCCATCGATAAGACTTCGTCGCTCCCCTCTTGTGAGCTTTGATTGCTATTTGCACTCGCCCCTGTACGCGTTCGGTGAAGTTGTCAAGGCCATCTGCGGTCAACAGCAAGTACAGATCGTATAAAAAGTTAAAAAAGTCTGTTTTGTCGAAGTACCTACTAGTATTTGACGACTCTCTATAAATAATAGTAATATAGAATCTTTATTATGAGAATCTCTTCTACAACCAATAGTAAATTTATAAAAAAAAATTAAGCCAATCTCCAGTTTAATCAGTCACATCTGAAAGTATACAGATACCAAGAATGATAAGACGTATTCTAAAAATAATGGTTTTTACTTGAAATATTCGTCGCAGTTAGGCTTGTCGCTCACCGGCTCGTTGGCGATGGACCACATGATCACGCTCGGGTGATTTTTATCTCTTCTAATCAACTCTGTGAGGGACTGCTTATGCTTTTCCAACAAAGAGTCTGAGTAATTGCTGTAAATGAAAGATACACAAATCGATCTTATAAGATATTTAGGAAAAGTTAATATAAGATGTCTTAATAAGAGCAATGTTAAAACTACATTTTTATTCACGTATTTATTCACAAGGGTGAGACTTATGTCCATTACATGGTCTGAACATAAGTCTCACCCTTGGGGGGTTTTGCCAGTAGTTGCCACGCTTGGCAGGCGGATTGGTAACCGCAGTCAGGGTTTTATAGATGTTTTATGAGGGACGATGCTGCCCATCCCTTGCCTTGCTTTAGTTGGCTCTAACGGCAAACACGGGTTAGGAAGGGGTGGCCAATTCTATGCCGGGACCACACGGCTTTGATATGTGAAAATTATAAATTATAGAGATTATTATTATCATGAAAAAATTACTGTAAATAATTGGGTGCTATTTTCACAGTTTGCTCCTGAAGGTCTAACTTAAAAATTGGTGTATGTTTGTTCGTGATACACTATCTGGAAGTAGTCTATTACATTGGTTTTCTTACTTCTAGAGTACTTCTAAATCCAAGTGTATAAAGTAGCGGGTAGAACATCATCATGGATAGTATAGAACACATTAAGCTGAGAAGCACATGATATTCCTCATGTACTCGTATTGTCACTCCTGAGCACTAAGGTATTGCGTCTCCGTACTTTATAATTGTACTGCCATATTACCCTCATCCTTGATATCAAAACACAGCCATGCCAGCGCAACTGCTTTGTGGCAGAAACAAAAGAATCTATGCAGGTGACATTTATAAATTGTCCCCATGAGCAATTGCAGTATGTTTTTTTCTGTCTTTTAAATAATAGAAACAAATTTACATATACTTCAATTTCAAAATTAGCTTATCGCCGAAATTTTCCTACAGTATAGGATTATTTAAAATGGAAATATTTTTTTAAGTATAGTAACGCGCACATGGTAAGCTTAGCCGATTATCAGGAGGGCTATTAGTGTAATTAATTACGTGTATGCTTGATTTCCACATTCGTGGAAAGCTATTGAGGTCATGAAAAATGTTGTTAGATTTCTGTTCAGTATTTTCGTAATATATATGTTATAAATATATAACAATATATACCTATTATTATACTTTACTGTCAATAGTACATATTGTTATTATTTTTTTCTAAACTTTGTATTTCGATACACTTGATGACAATTTGTTATGCCCTTAAAATGACAACTATTTGATTTTTTAGCGATGGTCATGACCTCTGATCGGTTTTCGGTTAGGAGCTGTTCACGACTCACGACTGTGACAAATAAAACATAAAAATAATATTTGTTCAATTTAAAATGTATTAATATTTTTTTTTACTATGATGAATATTTATATGTGCGTTCTCCGTGTTATTTGCATGTATTTTAAAAAGAAATAAACGATTCTAAATATACTTGATAAATATTTAAAAAGTGGTCAGATAACAATATGTCCTCCTAATAATGCTTGTACCTATTTCTTATTAGAGGATTAATCTAAGATTTGATTTAATAATACGACAACTTTAATGTATAAAGTATGGATTATGCTTAAGAAATCAATCATAAAAGTCGATTCAGAATTATCTAAGATATCGCGTACCGTTGATACAAAACATATAGTTAAATCATGAAAATCCGCTTTTGGGAAGGCCATTTGAAACACTAATCAACTCAATTAGATGTATTTATAACTCTAAAAAGAAGTTTATGTTGGTAACATTGGACAAAAAGGTACTTGTAGATTATAATCTACCTGAAATAGACCATGTCGTATCAGTACCGCACGTGCTCGCAATGGTTCAACGATAACAGAAAGTGAGACATCACTTATCGTTGCCGTCAGACCATCGCATGCTGTAAGTATATACCTGATACGGCCATCGTTAGAGTCAGCCATTTAGAAAGTGACAGTAGGGGTTTTTAGAATCAACTAAATCATGTATCGTCCAATTAGAGATTATTGGGTATGGGACATTCACAATATTTGTTATAATTTTCAATTCTACAAAACTAGCTAGCATACGGTTTGACTGATGCAACTATGGAATGATGCCAGCAGAAATATATCACATGTAGGTTTAGGGGGGAAAGGGATTGTTAGTAATGGGGTCTAATAGCCCCATTACTAGCAATATACCCTCTCAGGTTGACCTCCACTCGGTTCCCCCTGGAAATCATCATGTTTAATTCTTGTCGAATTCATCATGGTGGGCCAACTAACCTGCATTCATTCTCACTTATCATGTTCCACTGGTGCCTCGTCGGTGTATACCAATAGCGCGGGCGGGGTTACCAATCCATTTTCACCCATTAAAAAAAAAACATGTAGGTTTGTACATACATATGTTGCAAGTCTAAAATCATTGCCATATAGGATATGCCTTAATAAATGATAGATAATTGAAATTTAAAGGCAAGGGATGGGCAGCAGCGTCCCTCTTAGAACACCTCTAAAGCCTACCTACGGTTGCCAATCCACCTGCCAAGCGTGGCAACTACTGACAATGGAGAGGCTTATGTTCAGCAGTGGACAGTTAAAAGATGATATGATGATGATGATGATTGAGCAATATCAAGTGATATGCTTACATAGCGTTAACGCTGGGACACTCGTCGATTATCATGATTCCGTGCTCGTCAGCCAATTGGTAGATCTCTTCCGCGTACGGATAGTGAGAGGTACGGAAGGAATTTCCACCAACCCACTTGATCAGATTTATATTTTTCACCCACAACACCGGATCCCAGCCTTTGCCGCGGAACTGAGGATGTGATAGAACAATATAAGTGTTATTTGTACATAGATGTTTTTTTCTTCAGGTTAATTCTTTCTGTGAATCCATCTTGTAACATGGGTTTATGAAGGTGATTATATCTACAAGTCATACCAAATATACCATTGTATCTATAACAAAACAGTAAAGGAGATTGTTTTAGGGAGCGTAAGTGAGTCTTCGACAAAAGAGACATAAACGCCTCTTTTGTCAAAGTCACTTAGCCCTAAGACAAAGAAAGGACAGCCCAGAATCCTATCGGCATAGGGCTTTTCATAAGGGATTAGAACTATACTGTTTAGGTGGTTTAGTTTTCTCCTTTTTGTACCGGTATATCCTGTATCTGTAATGTCCTGGGAATAAAAGGTAGCGGTGGGATGCAGTGTTTACCAAAAACATCGTGTAGTTACAATTTTATAATATTAATAAGAAATAATATTAACAAAGACATTAAAACTCATACTTACATCAGAGTCTTCGTGCATGCCGAACCCGCGCAGGTATATCTGTTGACCATTCAAGTAGACTGTAGTGTTCGTCCAGCTTACGGTTCTAATGCCGAATTTTTCAGTGTAAGTATCTACTAATTCATCTCGTGTGTTTACTAAGGAGACCTGCGAAGAAAATTTATTATTAAATTCTTCAGAGAAATTCATTAGTAAGTAAATATGCGAAGAAAATTTAATTAATTCCCATTTGTTTGTATGTGGAATACTGTGAATTATATTTGTTATGGTGAATTAATTAGTCGTTTTGAAGAGTCAGAGAACAAATCATTAACTATAATAGATAATAAAGATTCATAAATAATTACAAACAAGACAAGGATTCAGTTACCCATAGGCCAATATCTTTCAAAACCTCATACATCGTATGTATGTAATGTAAAAATTTGGACTCAAAATTAAATATATCTACAGACTATATCTTAGATTAATATATGCTACTTTAAATTCTAATATAATTATTTCAGCCGTTAACTGTCCACTGCTGAACATAAGCTTTCCCCAAAAGAAGAGTTTCGCCGGTAGTTGCCACGCTTGCAGGTGGGTTGGCAACCGCAGTAGGTTTTTATAGATGTTTTAAGAGGGACGCTGCTGCCAATCCCTCCACCATAAACTCCCTTAGTCGCTCCTTACGACACCCAAGGAAAAGGAAGGGGTGGTCCACTCTATCTCAAGACTTACACGGCATACACGACCTACACACCTAAATTCTAATATATGTAAGAAAAATCAAAGTCGAAGAATGTAGCTAGTAATTAATACAATTACCCTCATTGTGTACAAGTATCCAGGATCGTGATGCATGAGATAAGGCCACCAGAGGTGTGCCTGAGGGATGTCTATCACCCCACTGCAGTTTTGTGAGGCTGCGACCTTTGTGTTTTTCCTATCGAAGACCTCCACAAAGCATATGATGTCATCATCACTTGATCCTTTGACTGATATGTAGTAAGTGACAATACCTGTGTGACAATACACATAATGTAGTGATGTTGTAAAATCGTTTTTATTACTAACAAGTAAGTAATATTATGTATTTAGATTCTTGTCTTTATTAGAAAATAACAGATAGTTTGTAGACTTTTATAAATAAGAAATATCAAATATTCAAACGACAGGTATCTGAATTAAAATACTTGTAAGCCAATTATTCAGACAGTGGGTGATATTCCCCAATTTATTTATAAAATTAACAGGCAGGTAGGTAATCCATTTAAAATAAGTAAGTTAATTGGATTTACAGTACCAGCGGTCATGAGTCACGACACTAAAAAAGGTTGATATTTAGGTATTGATGTTACTTTTAATACATACACAGGTCCATAGATTAGTTTTCTTTTTTTATTAGTTTATGGATTGCATATTCATATTAAACAATAAAGTAAGAAGCATTTATTTGGTATCTACTTGCTAAATTATAAATGCAATCAATAACCTACAAATTTGGTTAATAAATTGCATTAATTTTATATGCAATAATAAATAATGAATATAAACTGAATGTAGAGTTACTGTAAGACGATTACAGTAGAATTTCGATTATCCAAATCAAATAAAACTAGGAGTATTTCGTATAATCGAAAATCCGAATAATCGATTTTAAATTCAATTAAACAATAATACAATTTTATATTTTTTTTTATTAGGTTAAGGGTTGTACATACGCCATTTAGACAATACGATATAAAAAAAATTACGAGCTATAAAGATAATAGATTACATAATACCTAAATTAATAAATAATAAATTCATAAATAATAAATTCATAAATAATAAATTCATAATATGTAATTTAAAAGTTTATTTGGAAATAATTAGGTAATAATCTTGGCTGTAATGAATTACATGTTCAGTTGTAACAACTGTATGGGATCCGATTCGTCCTGTCTTGTAATAATCGATGTTCGGCTAATCGAAATTCTACTGTACTCATTATATTTATTTATACATAATTTAATTGACTTACCCGTATATCCCTGTATGTCTGTATCTATGGCGATGTCTTCTATATATAATTGTGGTGTTGAGTAAATATACACCGTACGGTGAATACCAGCGTAGTTAAAGAAATCATATCTGTACAATAATAAAAAAAATCGACTTCAATTGTGGTAAAACTATTTATTTTGATTTAATATATATATATATATATATATATATATATATATTGCAGTCGGGTTAAAACTAAAAGTAACAAAACTTCTTAAGTGATATCTTCGTGAAAATTTCATCATTTTTGTACAGTACATGAACAAAACTATTTTTTATGCAATCTGAAATAGTAAATAAGCTAACGACCTATCTAATGGAATGGGAAAGTCGCCTATAGACACGAACAGCTTTATGGCCATCATTGAACAAACAGTGATGCTCATAGAATCCCCATATCAGTGATCATTCTTTTAAATTTATTATTTAATACATATAAAAAACATATCGTATGAAAATTAATCAACACTTAAAAAAAGAGGTAAGTAAATAGTGCTCATAGAACCCCATATCAGTGATCATTCTTTTAAATTTATTATTAAATACATATAAAAAACATAACGCATGAAAATTTATCCCCACTTAAAAAAGAGGTAAGTACAGAACACGCGTACTGATCAAATTTCTCAAAACGATCATTGTCCTCAGATATCGATCTAAATGAATTAAGTGAAGTTTCAATCTAAATTTGCTACCAACCCATTTTCCTGTGGTATAGTGTTAAGAGTGAGCGTGTTATCAATCGCCACAGTCAGTAAATTGGAACTGTTATACAGAACAACGTCCGTAATTTCCACTTCAAACGGTAGATGTCCGATTTCGTGTGACGTAACTTGATTGCCGTTTAGGAACTGAAATTATTAAGAAATATAAATTATTTGAAATATAATCCTTTTAAAATAAAAGTTACATGTCGACTTTGTACAGAAACGATTATTTAAGAAAGGCTGTTTGGAAGAGATTGCTTAGCGATAAGGCCGCTTTTTGTATCACTTCTCCTTAATATTTACTGTATTTGTTATTTCTTTTTTTACTTGGTGCAATAAAGTGTAAAATAAATAAATAAAAATATATAATTTTCTCATGCCCCATACGAATTCATTATTTCTCATTCCTGTACTGCGCTATGATGTTCATGTTGAACACCATGGACGTAAAAGTATATCAATCCTATGTTCTTTTCTACCATAATATCGCATGAGATATTAGGATTACAGAAGCAAAAATAAAAACTCGGGTGTACTTATGATCAACAAGTCATTTCAAAATGTTTCAATATGTCTTATTCTTATCTATCTAAATGTGTAGAGTACTTATAAAAGAACATACTTGTAAACTGCAATGCAATGTACGAAGCCTATTTCATTATCTGTGGTTTTTTACATATTGCTCAATACTATCAGAGTTATCGTGGTCTCCAACAGTGACTCATAAATATCCACTTAAATTCTTGAGGTTGCTGACATTATCTAATTGTATATATTACCAAAGATAAGTACTGTTTACACTAAATGTCACAAGTAGGAAAATATTACATAATTATTGTGTGTATATGATTGGCCATTTCTTAAATATTCATAATAAAATTTCTTGGTAAAGAAAAATTTTCATACTAAGAGTTATAACACAATAATTATTTTTTCCTTTTTTATATTTAAAATTCAATTTCAATTTTTTTATGAATAAATAATTTTATTAAATGAAATAATTTACTTTTCAGTTGTAGAGACACAGAAAAGTGATATAGTTGTTTCAAAATATTAAGAATTCAATAGCAATTGTATATGTTGGTTATTTTACATAAAATATGTGTCATAAATAGAAAAAAAAAATCACAAGACCATAATACCAATCAGCCAAAAAACACCTTGTTACACTAATTTTTTTATATGACCTGAAATTCCTTTTCAGTTTTTTCAATTTTTATGCTCATATCTATAACCCTGATTTTTATTTTTTAATACAATTAAAAAAATAGGCTTTATTCTTTGTACTTATCAATGAAGATAGTTCATTGTAAAAGCGTGTTACTTGATAAGCACCTGTAAAGTATAGGAACAATTCAGGAAATATTTAATACATGACAACCCTAAGAACCGTAGGAAGCTGATTGAGCAATATTGCTGGTTAAGCGAGGTCAGTGCTTCTTGCCCTCTTCAAATGCAATTGCCGTACGAACTACATGACACCCAGCCAAACTACCAATACATATTGCCTATTGACAGTTATTTATGCTATTATATATAATCTTAAAAATCTTTTAAAAGAGAAAAATAAATGTAAAAAAAGCTGTACGGTGTGATGGTAGAGGATATTAGTGATAATCTTGAATTATACTCGTATACAACCACATAATGTACTTATTTATGTGGTGAAATAGCTATGTATGAGTTTGTTTCCGCCTAAAGGGTAAGAAGGGCAACAATATGTCTGACATAAGAGGCAACAACTCACGAAGTATAGCAACGTTAAAATAAATATTATCCGTAGGAAAGTATTATTAATGATGCAGTCGCCTTTTTAAAATATTTTTTTTTAATTATTTTTATTTTTAGATACCTACCTTTGTATCTAAGATCATGATAATACATAGACAAAAAAGGATTGTTGTTAATCAACAAAGGAACCTATTTTACGACAAGACATTGGGAATGCCCCGATATTTAGATTCAGTTCAGTTTTATGTAAATTTTGCGATCGTATTTCTCACTATTTGCATTTTAGTCGTCGTACATTATTCATTATTTGTTTATTTATAAGTAGTGACCCGCCCCAACTTCACATGACATTTACATGTTTATAAAAATGTTTGATTAGGATGTATTGCACTGGTTTTTTGCCCGCTACTTAGTACGCGTGAATTTCAGAAGTAAGAAAACTAATACAATAGATCTCTTTTAGACGATGTATCTACGAGTAGATAAAATATACACCAGTTTTTTTAATTGGATCTTGAGGTACACAACTATGCATTCTACGTAGTGTAATAGTGTTTGCGTTATGCCAGAACAAATATACAGACAGAAAAAAAATTGTAAATTATTGTTTTGGTATCCATTTGCTTTCATTAAGACCTCCATATTAATTTTTCTTAAATATCTCTCGACATCGTTAAGTTACAATTTAATTAGTAAAATAAAATATATACAAATCCTTCATAAAAAATATCTATGGAATTGTGAACCCCGTATCAAAATCCGTTGCGTGATTTTGAAGAAGTGAAGGTTCAAAACTTTTGCTCAGCAATTTTTGAAATCTCATAATATTATAACACAGGGGATGAACTGATAAGATAGTTTCGTAGTTGACAAATTGTTCTATTACAACCAAGCAATTGCCTAGCGACAGAGTTGATTGGTGACACCTCTAGACGATCAAAGCAGATCGACACCCTTTATGTTGCCAACGTGGTTACCTATCTATGTAGATGACAATAGTGGACACTGTATAGCTAGAATTGTATTTATTTAATTACCATTAATAGTAAAATTCTTCATGTAATATAATATTTATGAAATACGATTACCATGGACGATAAAGTAATAGAAAGAATTCGCAAACTATAACGTTATCTAGTATTATAAAAATTATAAATTACAGAAATGAATACTTAATGAAAGATTACCGGTTTAGACAGACGAAACCACGGTAAACAGCTAGTTTATTATACTTGTATTTCACTAAGGAGTAAGTATTTAATATGCATATATCGTATATATTTTATCCATAGAATAATAAATTAACATTAGCAAGCTTACATTATGTTATGTACTTTGGTGGGCGTTCGATATTATTACTTATTCATTGTTATGATGGTTCAAGAGTTCCGCGTTCATTATGTTATAATATAATCATAAATATGTAAATACGAGTAGAAATAAATTAAAGCGGATATGTTTTCTCTTACAGATTATATCACATTAATATTCTTGCGAAAATAAACGCATTATTATGTAATCGCAGCTGATCCGCACTACTTCCTTCGTTTGCGTGTGCTATATTAGTGAGCCGACTACATAATGAGCTATGTAGAATGCTCTGTCTCGAATATTTTAAAAACTTCTAAAATTTAATATAAATACCTACATTCATAATTTACATAAATGTTTTGGATTCCTCTTTGATGCAGCATATTCATTCTAATTTGGTACATAATTATACAGTTTTTTTTTATACCACAAATGTGGCAAACAAGCATACAGCCCGTCTGATAGTAAACCGTCACTGTAGTTTATGGATGCCTGTAACAATAGAGATGTCACGTACGCGTTGCCGACCCTGAAGAAACTGTAACCTTTTTAAAAAATCTAATTATTTTCTAAGAAAGTTATCATTACCGAAAACATTTTTCAGTTCATAAGGATTCAAGTAATTGACTTTATGCAGTTTCATAATAGAATATTTTGGCACGCTACTCGATGTCAATAGTTTTAATATCGCCATTTGCCTTCATCTCAATATTTCATAATGGCATAGGCATTCGTTATATTACTAAGTAAGTTGACATTGACAATTGCAAGTTTCACAAGATATTGTTATTTTATTTATAATATTAGGTATTACTAAGAGTAAGAAACTTGTTAGAGTTGAAATCCGAATAGTCTTTATCACGACTTCTCTTAAGTTTAATTTGAATTAACCTAAACCTAAAAATTACTATTGTGGATAAGAAAATACCCGACTAAAATAAAAAGTAAAATTTTCCTAATCGGTGATAATTTTATCACAGGGAGACTTTGTACAAAAGTGGTTTGTTTGGGTACCTGTGTTTCTACTGTAAAACAGTTGTGTTTGTGTGGTTGTGTTTCGGTTTAAAGGGTAGTAATGAATTTGCAGGGTACAGAGGCATAACATCTAATCCTCAGTAATGGCAACGTATGATAAGGAAAAACAGAATATTCTGTTATGTCTATGGCACGTTCATATCTATAGACGATGGTTATCACATGCCATCGGGCGGGCCGTCAGTTTATTTGCCAAAGTTGCATAAAAATAAAATAAAAACAATGATAAGGAAAATTTGTAACAAATACTAGTTTAAGGCGAGAGACAGATATAGCAATTAAATAGAAATTTCGTCTCTGGTTGAATCTGATCGAAATAAACTTCTTCGAACATCCATGATTTAGGACGTATGACAGAAAAACATTAACCTATACAAAATCTCTTAGTTTACAATTTGAACAAGTTAAAAAAAAACTTATTACCTATAGAATTGGTAGTAATGTAATCAGGTAATATACGCAACGACTTATCTGGAATTAACGAAAATTTATGGCTGTTGCATAATCATCTAGCGTCTATGTGAATAAATACATAAATTTCATCTCCAAGTTTTTATTAGTCATTCAACCATTGTTTTTTATATTATAATTAGCCCGACTATGCAAAAGTCTCACATTTGATTTGACAGTGCAATACAGAATACAATTCTAAGCGACAGCTGTTTTGTATAGTGGACAAGGGCCAACGCCAATTAAAATGAATCCCACAATTAGCGTAATTGCAATTATTATTTTTAATTCAACTGGGAATGGTATTGGTAAACAGTTGAAGGTCTATATGATGGTGTGTGGTACCCGTCATCTACAGGTGTAAATAACACCAAGAATTATACATTGTTAACTACATATACATACATAGTCATACATAGTCATAGAGTGCATGACTATTTTATTTTAGTTAAATAACTACATAACTAAATAGTTTACCTTTATATATATGTGTTTATTCTAGAACGCAAACACCCACACTGATGTAGCCGATTCACCACAGAAATAGGTAAGGCGATGATAATACCTATTTAAGCGATTATAAAAACTATCATAAAAACACAAAACTCTATCTAGCAATAGATGAAAAATTCGGTACTAAATCAACAATTAGGTAACATCTTATTTGGCTTTCCTTCCTTATAGTACAGCACGTACCTACTAACACAAAGAATACTTACTCTATAAGTACTAATATATGTTATAGGTTTTCAAATATAGTTTACACATAAATTGATTTTGCAACTCACCACTTTCGCTTGATAATGAACGCTGCTGAATCTTAACCAAACACGTTGTCTGGCGTCACCCCACCAGCGTGGCGCGTAGAATCGCCTATCATACCATACCACACCAGTATGATCACGCACAGCTGCGTCCACGCCGACATCGTTAAAGGATGACGGAACCGGCATGGGGATAACTGGTCCAGTCTAGTGCAAATTGGAAACGTAATATCAATAAGGGTAAATGTATTGTTAGACCAAGCAAATGAATGCTCAAATTTTTTAATGCAAGCGTGTCTGTTGTATTTGTTCTGTATGTATTTGTTTGTATTCGTGAACTGTCAATCTACAAGTGGTTGAATATCTTAACTTTAGTTCTACACGCTTTTCTCTTGACTACTAAATTATTAATATGAATATTAGACTAAGTTTACTTTCAAGGAAGTGTTAATAATTTAATTAAAAATTTGTACTCGAAGAAATCATCTCGTACTCATAGAACGTATTCATTAAATTTATTTATTTCTTATAAAATATTAATTATATATTATATATATATATATATATATATATATATATATATATATATAAAACTACTATACTTCTTAGAATCACAAAAAAAATTTAATGATCAGTCCCATTCATGATCCGTACCCGACCTAAAGATCCCCATAACACTTGCAACATTTCCGCGTTGGATTGCCAGAGATATCCTTTGAGCCAGATACGAACCAGAACGGAGATCATGGCCCCAAATATATTTATCATATATTATAAATATGATCATTAAATTAATAATAATAAGAGCCAAGAGTAAATCAGTTAAAATAACACAGTAAGAACTATTGTAATAATTTATACGCTCACATATAAGTAGCATTTTTACTCTAGTATGAAAACTTTTATTGATTGATGTTCTAAAAACTGATACTCGTAATAAATTAAAATTATGAGTCTAGTGACTGCTAATTATGTAATTACGAGAGAATTTACGAAGAGCCAGTTTGTGACAAAAATGAAGTGTGCATTGTTTGAAGTTGGAAATGCTGTAGCATTTATAAACATAAATTGGTTAATAATTCGTAATATTTTTGTTTTTACTTAAATCTTTATCTTAAGATTTATTTGTTATTCTTGTTATCCATGTACAAGTTGCATGAGAATATTAACAGTGTATACTGTCTATTTAATGGAGATTTATATAAGATGTTAAGAGTATGAATTCTTCATCTTAAAATTACATAAATACTTGTGTTCTGACCATTTTATTAAATATTTTACTGAACTAGTTGTTGTTTTGCGGAAATCATTAAAATTAAAATTCTTACCTCAGCAAGATCTTGTAGATACCATCCATTAAGAAATCCAAATAAAGGATTATTTGGGGGTGACAATCTAAAATTCCATATGCCGTCCAGCTTTCTAAGGTCTCTGGTCAGGGTTGCTCGTGGATACAGCGGCGAACCCGTATTTATAACGGGTTTCTTTTGTATTATGTTGATGACATTGTCACTAGATGATACCGGAAGTATGGCAGTGACAAACGGTACGAACACTATTCCCAAAAGGATCAACGTTGACTTCATCGTAATTATTTTCTGAAATTAAAATAAATTTCTATTTTGTATATTTGATCGGACGGGATGATGGATTGAATCCAGATTGTTAACTTCGAACGGTGTGGACAAGAATCAGTAATAAGGAAACTGTAATAGTGGCAGTTTGTTGATAATCAAATACTGTGTTTTCCACTTTGGTTTTTTATTTGCATACCTACCTACATGTTTGTGTATATACGACCACAAGTTAAGAATACCTACATGATATTTCACTTCACCATTCGTCTGTATTTATTTATATATATATTCTTTTTTTTATTGTACTTGAACAACTTGAAAAGATACAGCGATTAGTTTAACAACTTGTTAGCAAGGGTAGGCTTTTTCTGTATATTGTAGTTATTAGATATATACCTACTATAGCACTATTATTTATTTATTATACTTATACTGTAGTATAAATTAACATTTGATGTAGGATTTCGAATTATAAATGATTGCAACCATAGGTGCATTTCAATAATATTAAAATAAGGAAAGTATTACTGGTCAATATTAATTTAGGTTTTTTATAATATTATTACAGTGCATATTGCTGGTAATATTGTATAAGTAGCAACGCAAATTATTTCGATAGTATTTTCGAATTTAAATAATTTATTGAGTTTATTCTCTTTTATTATTGTCATGTTTAATTCTTTGCTTTTATTATGGAATGGTAAACCCGCCTGCATTACTGGTTGACGTTGACAGGATACCATTAAGAGATGACAAGTAAAGATTCATGCTGTGCATATTACCAGAAATTAACATACTTTATGGCCATTACGTGGTGTTTAATCTGATAGGATACGTTGGTACTATGGTTTAACCAGTTTTACTAATAATTTCTCACCCGAAATGAGTTAAATATTACTGGCTACTAGATAGCAATAATTCTTTGATATTAGAACTATAATGGATACATTATTAATGGATATTTATTGAAATTTGAAATAGTGTTTTAAAAGAATTAGAATTTGGACACCGGTTGAATGACAAATAGGTGTCATTACGTATTAGCATTATCGTGCGCAGACGCAGGCGACACACACGTCCATCGACTATATGCAAGTGAAATCTATTTAAGATGCGACATTTGTGTATATTATTGTATGAGGTGTTCATTATCTTCATTGTGTAACAGAACTCTTTCTACACTTCCTTATTCCTAGCAGGCACATATTGTATATTCAAAGAAAAATCATTACATAGCCGCACAGATAATAAAATAGTGGTAGGTAGATGCTGTCTTTAGTGATTATAACGAAATTGTAAAATTTTTAATCTTACTAATACAATAAAATTATAACTAAACAATATTTATACATGGGAAATATAAGATAAAAAAGATAGAAGATATAAAAGATAGATAAGTCTTATAAGATCAATAAAAGCCAGAGCAATAACTTTTAGAAATTTTGTCTGTTTGTCTGAATATTTTTTCCAGCATTACGCAAAATTTACTACACCAAATTGAATACAGTTTTCACAACTGTTTCCTGAATGTATATTCTGATGTATATTTTGTCTTGGTATCCCATGTAAAAGTGGCCTATTTCATTGTATTTCTTAAATAGTAGGCAAAAAGATAGTATTATATTATAAAAATCGAGTATTATTCTATTAATTGGAAAGATTTGACAGAGGCAGGCAACGCACAAGCAACTCCTCGTGTTGTTGTTACGGTAGCCGCTTTCCATCGTCCGTCTGCTCGTTTGCTTCCTTAACAATAAAAACAAAAATAGATTTTAAACTGGCTATAGGTTGCGGCTTGGCTCATGTATATTCGCATAAATGAAGATATGACCCATTTATAATAAACACCTTCAGTCAATCAGCATATATAATATTCCTCTATAAATAGAAATATGATCAAACTCTAATACAGAATTTAAATCTGTAGGAACTCTATAATTTAGGTTATTTAAACATGTAAAAAGTACTTTAACCGTCAATGAGTATATAAATGTGATATGAATTTGATACATACTTATTAATAATAAATTAATGTTATTAATTTAGAACACCTATTTACATAACAACGAACGGTTTTTATTTTTTATATATGACACATAATCCGTTGAAATATGCCATTCAGGTAAGTATGTAAGCGATGTCCGGTACGCGCTGTGATATGAAAATAGAGTAGATAACTATGCAACCAGATACGTTAATTATAGGTATTAATGTGAGCATTGCGAAACTATTTCATGCCCTAAAAAGTAAATGTTAGCATAGATAAAAAGTTATTTAACTCTGTAGCAACACTTTTTCTATAGGTAATATTATTATTTACCATAGATAACAATGGATGTTAAATGTATACAGTAACCATGATAATAAATGGAGATCTCATTGCAGTACAGATAAGATAATATTAACATAATTTCAGTTAATAGATTTGTTATTGACTAGGTTAAGTTTGTGAAATGCAAATATTTAATTTTTGTGGAACATAAAGTATTAATAACGTGCCATGAATCAAAAATTACTCTAGATATCTTACTCAGCAGACTAAATAAAACATTTGAATAAAAAAGAAAAAAATGGAGCGTGGTGAAAGAACTGCGCTGTATGTAAACCGTAGAGTCTGCAGTCTGCAGCACACTGCAACGCGACACATATATTAAGCGCCTAAAAGTTAAAAGCCTAAAGTAAACCATTGATTCCTAGATATACTTGAGCCTAAATAACTGCTAAAGTACGATAAATATGCATCCATAGCCCCTCTATGTAATCATATGTAACGCAATATTTCGTAACGGATAATTCGCATGGACTTTATATATCTACTTGCGTAAACTCACGCTATCTTTGCTTAGGTTATTTACTGTTTATTAATAAGTTCTAGTTTTTACAAATTATTTCTCTTTTCATCTTTTTTCCTACTCCGTTCTTTATCCTGTCCTGCACAGCAAGTACAATCTTAGCTCTTACTCAGCATAAACTAAGTTGGAACACAACACAGTGCGTTCTAACTTACAAGTTGTAACACCTTTTTTTCAGATAGGCTTGTTGACCACCTTTATGGTATAAAAAGAAATGCTTTTCTGTTACTCTTAATTGGCGTGTTTATTTAAAAAATTAAGAATATATTGGTATTTTATTGTTTCAGTGTGTGGTTCTATGTTGAAAAATATTTTTATTCCTTTTGATTGTTACCACCTGCTACCCTCTGAGTACCTTAGTTATCAGCGAACTAGGTTCAAGATTACTATTTCCCATTATTTCCGTCAGCTAGATTAGTATGTATACTGTATGTATAATAAAATTATCGTTTCTGGTATTGAAGCAGACTGTGCATTTTGTGTGTTCAAAAAAATCAAGTAGATTCTTTATTGCTCTTTGACGTGAACCAAGGACAAAGCAAAACGTGTACTGAATATGTAATATATAGATAACTAATATTAGTTATATTAAGTTGTTCTAAAAGAGTGCCGGGCAAATTTTATTAATTTCATAGAAATTTCCATGAAATTAAACGTCTCAATTTAACCTTAGAAAGTTATATAAGAAACTGCAAAATATGAAATGAAATGATAGCGTTCATTATTCTATCAATATATTTTTTATATACACAAGGATGTCCTGTATTTATAACAAATACTAAAAATATGCACCTAAACAGAAATTAATACCATCAGCGATAGTTATTAACGACGAGACAGGTCTGTGTTATATTCGCATCTAATACTTTATTGCTTAATATATTTATTACTTAATAATCACATGCCTTCTAATTTGTTATTTTTTTCCACTCAGGTCATTCATGTTTTCTAATTTATTATTTCTTTCCGCCCAGGTCAATTCAGGTCACCAGTTGTCCACCTTAAAATAAGTTCATTTACCTTATAGCAAAAAATGTGCTCACATAATTACACGAAAACTCAATTAATATTGGAAAACAGCAAAAAAGACTAAACATACATCAAAAGGTCAGCGGCATTTGGAATGATGTAATCACACCATAATATTTTATTGTTGCTAACATCGTGTTTAAATAATTGCCGTTCTTTAATAATAGTTAAACTTAATAAAAAATATAGTATCTTTGAATGTAAGTAATTAGTAGAACAGATTAAAAAAAACATCGAAGAAATAGTTTTGTTCATTTAGGACCTGTTGTCTCCAGTTTCTATAGCAATTTCTTGATGGACCTTTGATATAAAAATAAATCTAAGATACACAATTATAAACAAAACAGCAGTTCTGAAAATTGAACGCATTTAATCTAATTATGTATTCATTTCTGACCAACTCCGAATATTTTTACAAATCTTGTAAACATAAACGTGACACAGTTTTATTATCTCTACTTATGCTTTATCCTCCGATAATTAAGAGCAGTAGGTAATTTTAAATTCGATACATTATCTATTTGTATGGTACGAAGAATAACTTCTGTATGGGATTATATTGAGTTTTTTTTTGTATCAAAGATTAGATGCCTAAAATTTCAGTTTTGTGTAAGCACACTAAGCTGAAATTTCTCATTAAGTTTGAAATGAGAAATTGAATTATTAGCATGATTACTGGGATTTTGTGATTAGTCATAAACTTCTTTCTTTCTTAAGAAAGAAAATTGGGAAACTGATAAGCTCCTTTAGTTGGTAAATTTATTAAATAAATAAATAATTAGAAATAAAGTATTTTGTTTTTATTTAGAAGAAGAAAAAAATAATATATATTGATTTTATTTTGCTAATAGGAATCATCAACTAAAAACCAGATGATACTACAAAATAATTCATTTTTAAGTATAAAGGTAAACAGGCAATGAGTCTTTCCATACACTATGATAGCTAAGTCCCTAAGAAGAATATTATCTACCTACATAAGAGCTTAACATTCCGACTAAGATTAGTTAAATCTATTCAATTACAAATACACAACAAGAAGATAAAACCATTAAACTACTAGGAACACATAAATCGGTGCATTCATCTGTACGCCTAGGCGTCTGCAGAACGCATTTTCATTCAAGCCCATTAAAATTC